AGAGCCATGAGATTATAGTCAGAATATGTAGCTATGGAGGTAATAAAATCAGCCTTGTTAACAGCTGATTGACAATTCCAGAGGCCCACGGAGAGAGAGAGTTGTGAAATAGTAGATACATGTATTGAACGAAGGTTGTGAGGATTACGCCTGCAGCGCACCTCCCGTGTTTTGCGAGTGTTAGTAACAACAGGAATTAGAAAACACATAATAAAAGTGCACTGACAACAAAAAATAAGTGTAAAGTAAAACAATACAGTAAAGTACTCAAGTGCTTTGTCGGTGTCTTTGCTCGGTGGAGTCGCGCAGGTAGAGTCGATGGTCTTTACCCTCGTCGGTCTTCACACGAGGCGGTCTTCACACGAGGCTGCCGCGACCGCTGCCGCGGTGAACTAGTTGTTTATATAACCCCAAAGCACTAGCTGATTGAATTCAGCTGGACACGCCTCCCGAGTCAAAACAAGGGCCGAAACTGAGGCGGACGACGCGAACCGCGTCTGCGTTCGCTACACAAGCTCTTATAGTAACCAAGGAAACAGTGGCTAAACAACTTCTAGTATTATACACAACTGAAAGCAAGTTTAAATGTCCTACAACTTTACACAAACAGCTGGAAACAAGTCCTCAAACCATACACAACAACTGAAACAAATCTTAAATGTACTTACAGGCTGCTGTTCTAGATGCTGCTAAAGTGCTTCTCCTGCCGACTAATGCTACCGTGCTCACTATATAGTGGTTACCTGGCGTTTGGACACGCCTCCCGAGTCAAAACAAGGGCCGAAACTGAGGCGGACGACGCGAACCGCGTCTGCGTTCGCTACACAAGCTCTTATAGTAACCAAGGAAACAGTGGCTAAACAACTTCTAGTATTATACACAACTGAAAGCAAGTTTAAATGTCCTACAACTTTACACAAACAGCTGGAAACAAGTCCTCAAACCATACACAACAACTGAAACAAATCTTAAATGTACTTACAGGCTGCTGTTCTAGATGCTGCTAAAGTGCTTCTCCTGCCGACTAATGCTACCGTGCTCACTATATAGTGGTTACCTGGCGTTTGGACACGCCTCCCGAGTCAAAACAAGGGCCGAAACTGAGGCGGACGACGCGAACCGCGTCTGCGTTCGCTACACAAGCTCTTATAGTAACCAAGGAAACAGTGGCTAAACAACTTCTAGTATTATACACAACTGAAAGCAAGTTTAAATGTCCTACAACTTTACACAAACAGCTGGAAACAAGTCCTCAAACCATACACAACAACTGAAACAAATCTTAAATGTACTTACAGGCTGCTGTTCTAGATGCTGCTAAAGTGCTTCTCCTAAAGTGCTAAAGTGCTAAAGTGCTTATTTCAGAAACTGCTGATCTACTGGGATTTTCACACACAACCATCTCTAGGATTTTCAGAGAATTGTCCTAAAAAAGAGAAAATATCCAGTGAGCGGCAGTTCTGTGGGCACAAATGCCTTGTTGATGCCAGAGGAGAATGGCCAAACTGGTTTGAGCTGATAGAAAGGGAACAGTAACTCAAATAACCCATCGTTACAATTGAGGAAATGCAGAAGAGCATCTCTGAGTGCACAACACATCGAAGCTTGAGGCGGATGGGCTACAGCAGCAGAAGACACCATGTGCCACTCCTGCCAGCTAAGAACAGGAAACTAAGAATATCAATGATTCAGAGTGTGGTGATGGTGTAATGGTGTGGGGGATATTTCCTTTGCACACATTGGGCCTATTAATACCAATTGAGCATTATGTCAAAGCCACAAACTACCTAAGACATTGTCAGCAATAATACTATCTCTTTATGAACAAAGTGTACCCATCTTCTGCAGGATAGCAGGATATCGCACCACCTCATAAAGCGCATATCATCTCAGACTGGCTTCTTGAACAAGCAATTAGTTCACTGTTACAAACTGCTATTGTATCCCGATTCCCAACCACATATTTTATTGTAAGAATTGAACTAGTGTTATATTAAACTAGCAGATATGTTCAAACATTCCGTTTGTTTTCTTTTCTTTTCGTCTTGCAATTTTTTTTTATTTTTTGCTTTCCTGGTTTCCTTCTTGACTAATGCTGTCAGTGTTCGCACAGATGGCAGATGCATTTTGTCAGACCTTTAGACATTAGTCATGTGTCTGTTTGTGGTTCTTCTCATTTCTCTGCGTACACGTGCGCTGCATGTGCTGAACACACAAGTTCTTTTAAATCGACTTGATCACATTGAGAAAACCGTTACTCTCAGTTCATTAAGAAATTAATGAAGGCTTTTTTTTACTCTGCAGGGAAGTAATACAAGTTCATGGCATTCATTTCACTTCAGCTTGAAGCACGACAGAGCGTTAACAACAGATTTATAAGAGGTAATTTTAATGATGCGATGTTGTTTACTCTCTGTATTTTCAAACGGATGTTGCAATAACCAAACTTTTTTTATATTTATGATATGCATACATTTAGTATTCTGAAAACAATTGTCTCATCTTCCCCTACACCAATACACGTGCACACAATTTTCCTTCTCGTTCCTCATGGCAGACTTTCCCCTATGACTCGCTTGAGCATGAAAGCATCTGTCCTTGGACACCCTGGCTCTCTAATGCACCCCAAGGTCCTATTGGCCACCCCCCTTTCCTCTGCAGACCCCCTCGGCCCACTGCCTTCCACCCTGGCACCCACATACAAGAGGGAGGCCCACTGGTCTGGTCTTTGCAGCTCTTTCATTCCACAGATCGTTTAACATTTCATTACCGCAGCCAAGCGCAACCTCAGTGTCAAGATGACTTTGGTAATGTTCAAAACACATCTTTGTTCCAGCTGCATGTTGCGATGCCAGCTACGTTATTGCCAGTGTAAGATTGCCTCTATGTCCTCTTGCTGATGAATGAATAATATGCGCGTGCGTATGTATGTATGTATGTATATATATATGTATAATATATATGTAAGTACTTGCTTATGGTTTATAAGGACACAAAATTCTAAAATGACATGGGTTTGACAGCTGTTACCTTAAGATGGCTTTTGAGGACATGCCTTGTTTCCTTGTAATTCAGAACACTTAAAAATCTAACTTAACGGGGTGTTTTGACATTTAAATATTGCCACAGGTTACCTTTGATGGTTAAGGGTAGGGTAAGGCCATATAAGGCCAAAGCGTGTGTACAGTATAAAATACATTACGCCTATAGAGGGTCCTCTTAAAAACATGTATGTGTAATATTTGGGTGTGAGTGAGTTTGTATAGAATTGAATGATAACAAATATAGATTTTGTTAAATGTAAAACTAGGGTCGTTCCAATTCCGATACCAGTATCAGAAATCCTCGCTGATACTGCAAAAATTAAAGATTAGTAAGCTGTATATACAAATACATACCCCCAGGTATTTTATCAGTACTCTGTATTGGCAGATACTCTGAACCCAGGTATTCTTTTCGGAAAAAGGGTATCAGTACATCTCTACCTAAAACATTGATATTATACTTCCTAAAAATTAAACATACCATCTTTTTTAACCAATAATCATTTCATGCAAAAATGTCTATACACTCACCGGCCACTTAATGAGGTATACCTCACTAGTAATAGGTTGAACCCCTTTTACCTTCAGAACTGCCTTAATCCTTTGTGACAGATTAAACAAGAGAATGGAAATATTCCTCAGAGATTTTGGTCCATTTTAACATGATAGCAGTTGCTGCAGATTTGTCAGCTGCACGTCCATGATATGAATCTCTCATTCCACCAAATGTGCTCTATTGGATGGAGATCTGGTGACTGTGGAGGCTATTTGAGTACAGTGAACTCTTTGTCATGTTCAAGAAACCAGTCTGAGATGATTTGTGCTTTATGACATGGCGCATTGTTCTGCTGAAAGTAGCCATCGAAGATGGGTAACCTGTGGTCATAAAGGGATGGACATGGTCAGCAACAATACTCAGGTAGGCTGTGCCATTGACATGATGCTTAATTGGTACTAATGGGCCCAGAATGTGTCAAGAAAATATCCCCCACACCATTACACCACCAGCAGAAACCTGAACCGCTGATATAAAGCAGGATGGGTCTATGCATTCATGGTGTTGATGCCAAATTCTGACCCTACCATCCGAATGTTGCAGCAGAAATCGAGACTCATTAGACCAGGAAACATTTCTGATCTATTGTCCAATTTTGGTGAGCCTGTGCAAATTGTAGCCTCAGTTTCCTGTTCTTAGCTGACAGGAGTGGCCTTCTCTTTAGGTGTGGCCTGTGGTCTTCTGCTGCTGTATAGCCCGTCCGCCTCAAGGTTCGACCTGTTGTGTGTTTGCTGGTTGTAACGAGTGGTTATTTGAGTTACTGTTGCCTTTCTACTAGCTGGAACCAGACTGGCCATTCTCCTCTAACCTCTGGCATCAACAAGGCATTTGCGCCCACAGAACTGCCACTCACTGGATATTTTCTCTTTTTCAGACAATTCTCTGTAAACCTTAAAGAGGGTTGTTCATAAAAATCCCAGTAGATTAGCAGTTTCTGAAATACAGTCCAGCCTGTCTGGCACCAACAACCATGCCACGTTCAAATTCACTTAAGTCACCTTTTTATGACTTATCACATTCTAATGCTTTGTTTGAACTGCAGCAGATCGTCTTGACCATGTCTACACACCTAAATGCATTGAGCTGCTGCCATTTAATTGACTGATTAGACATTTGCGTTAACGAGCAATTGGAAAAGTGTACCCAATAAAGTGGCTGGTGAGTGTATTTACATTTTAATAAAATGTCATTAGTTGTTTACATTAACCAACTGTAATGCAAAGCAACAATTGTTTTGCTAAATATTAATAGCTATATTATACACACATTTTCCTCCTTCCATTTATGCCAATATTTTGATGATGAAAAAAACACACCTCTTTTTGCTTGGAAACTGGCATCTATAATGCATAAAAACAATTATGGTCTAAAATATTTCTGTATGTTTATCCTCTCTCTAGTGCGAAGAGACCAGCAGGCATGGGGAGCATCCTGAATCGCATTGGGGCCAAAAAGCAGAAGATGAGCACTCTGGAGAAGTCGAAGATGGACTGGGATGCCTTTAAATCAGAGGAGGGCATCACAGATGAGCTGGCAATCCATAATCGAGGCAAAGAAGGGTATGTTTAAGCCTCATTAGTGACCCAGACAAACACATCATCTCGTATTATCTCCCATTAGAGTCTCACACTAGCCTCTGAGATTTTCATCAGAGCTGAATAAATATCATTAAGTGTCTTAAGTGCTTAAAGCAACAGCACACTGAAATGTTGCATTTCAGGCCGTTTTTGTGATACATTGCGATTTATTAATTATTCACAAGTTAACTGGACAGTGAAATGAATGTATTTGGGAAAAAACCTTATGCTGCGCACGCATTAGATTAATATGTTGACCTTTGTGGTTGCTGTTAGAATTGAGGATGAGCATTTGGAGTACAAAAAATGTACTTGGATTCTGTTCTGGCCACATTATGAGATGATTGTGTACTATTTGTTTTGGGTTTCTGTCTTTAAATTGTTTTCTGCATATGCATGTAAGATCACACTTTACTTTAAAGTAATTCTCACTACTTGATGCTGCTTAATAGTTATTAAAGTAGTAGTTAGTATTAGGTATTGGATAGGATTAGAGATGTAGAATAAGATTATGCAGACTTTGTACTTTTTAAGTACTAATAAGCAGCCAATATTTTAATAATAGGCAGGTTATGACCCACTAGTTAATAGTGAGAGTTGGTACTTAAACTAAAGTTTTACCTATTATTCTCACTGGTGGATAATGTTAAATGCAGATGTAAATGTGATCTACTGTACAACACTTTTTGCTTGTCCAATTTTCAAAGACCTCTGGAGGCAGCTGGAAATGCATTGAATTGGGTTGTTTTTGGAGTGTTAGTCAAATATATTTGATTAGCCACAAAAAAACAAAAACAACAACAACAACAGCAACAACAAAAACATCCGGTTTCCATCTAATACACTAACATTTGATCTTTATGGGACATGTTGTAAGAAAGTGGAACCAATTCATGTGTTCATGCTTCACTACATTGTATCAAAACTCATTGATTGGGATCAGAATTGTTGTTGTCTCCACATCCTTGCATTCCTCTGATCGGTCGATTAGGGATGAATTCCTTTAAGGAATATGCAGCAAACTTCATTATGTTTTCAGCTTAGTTCCTTTACTAATCTGGGGTCAACAGAGTGGAATGCACCACCAACTTATCCGGCATATCTTTTACGCAGCGGATGCCCTTCCATCTGCAACATATCACTGGGAAACATTCACACATACTCATTTATACACATATACACTAAGGAGGAAACCCACGCCAACATGGGGAGAACATGCAAACTCCACACAGAAATGCCAGCTGACCCAGCCGAGGCTCGAACCAGTGACCTTCTTGCTGTGAGGCGATCCTGCTACCCACTATGCCACATATATATATATATATATATATATATGTATGTATGTATGTATGTATGTATGTATGTATGTATGTATGTATGTATGTATGTATGTATGTGTATATATATATATATATATATATATATATATATATATATATATATATATATATATATATATATATATATATATATATATATATGTATAGTGGTGTTAATGTTTTTCATGGCCATTTTTCACTATCATCAGTGAATTTTAATTTAAATGATGTCTTTATCATCATTTTGCACATTGTCATGTCTTCATTACTGTTGACGAAAGCAAAAAAAAAATAAAAGAAAGAAAAAGAAGCAGCTAATTTTGAGATTAACACTGTCCTGCAGACAGGTCTAGGATCAGTATTCAGCATATCTGCAGAATGAATGGAGTGGGAGCTCAGCCAACAGCACTTCATTTAAGCCTGCTTATCTCAGCCTTGATGGCTATCTTGAGGAGAAGGTGAGAAGCAGGTCTCTGACTTTACCCAAAAGCTGATGATGCAAAACTGAGCAAAGAAAAGCCAGGGTCAAATAATTTAAACTGTCACAAGAAGTGAAGTAAGTGTTGGAATTTTGTCTTTTATTATTAGAGCAGTTTCATCAGAGTACCGGTTTGAGATGGAATTGAAACAGGGTGTAGCTGAGTGCAATTTAGAAGCAGGGAAAATGTGATGTAAAATGTTATTTTAGATTCCTGTATGGATGGTCAGATGAGTTTTTTTTTTTTGAAGCTTAAAATCATTCTAGGGTACATTCAGCTCAGCTGTTGATTGCAAATCCTAACTGATGATCATTTTAATCTTCTCAATTCAAATTTTACCCAAACGTTTTGGTGAACAAAAAGTTTTATTATTTTTAAGATAATTATGACCTAGTCCAAGTTTTTGATTATTTTTAGTTTCATTGTGTTTTTATTTGTGCGTCTTAATCGCATACAGTACTTATGCACTATTCTACGCCATTTTGTAGTATAAATAGTGTAAGTAGTGCGTTCACACTGAAAAAAAAGCAAAATTCTCATTCATAAGTGCATAGTGTACAGTGTGGCATTTGGGACGCAGCTTAAAGGTGTGAATCGTTCTGTTTTAGCTTAAAGTTTCTTCCCAAATGTTTTAATGCAGAAAATTTAAAAAAAAAATAATTTTATGGTAACCACAACCTAGTTTACGATAGTTAGAAGTTTTGTATGAAATAAACTATTCTAAGCTTCGTTGTATTCATTTGAGGTGTGACCTTTTTGTGTTTTAGCTTTTAGTATAATCCCAAAAGTTTTGATGTAGAGAATGTGATTTTATTAGTTTTATGCTAAATACAGCCTAGTTTACGATAATTTGAAGTTTTGTCTCAAGATGACTGTTTTGAGCTAGAGGTGTGAATCTTTTAGTTTCTGCTTTCAGCTTAATTCAATAAAAAAATTACCATTTGTGCATTACAATCAGTGCTTGACATTAATATTCGCCAACCCGCCAAATGTATGTAGATTTCAGCTGTGGTGGGTTAGATAGACATTCCCATTGGCAATTTTGGCTAGTTGGAAAAAAATTTGTAAATTGTAGTTTTCTTAAAAGCAGGGCTCAACAATAATGATGGCCCAATATGCGTGCAGATGTGATCTCAAAATTGAGAAGCAGCACAAAACAATTATACAAAAAATAATTGTTTGTGCGAGCAAAAGAAAGCAGGTGAATACCGAATGAGTGAATGATCACTCGTGGGCACAGGTGATGTGATACACGCAACTGTTTTTTAAAAGTCTGTGCTCCCATTTCCTTGCGCGAAGCAACAGTGTCTGAATACAAGACTGCTGCGATCTGTTCTCTTTGAAATAGACTGGACAAAAGTTATGCTCATGTATCCATATTCCTCATGCTTTTTGTGAGCAGTAGGGGTTGCTGCTTTCGCTTTAACCATTCTTTGAACAGATTCTTAACAGGTCTAAAGTTAACTGTGTGCACATGATCATCCTTTCATTATCACGCATGTTTTTCACCTCTTTTGTTTTGCTCACAGCTATTTATGTAAATAAGGTTTAATTATAATTTTTTTACAAAACCATTGCTTTAATAGGAGATTAACTTCCATTGATGTGTAGTTAACAGGTGATCTAAGACAGTTAGCTAGAAACAGTTAGCTGAGTTTTTTTTTTTAAGAATAGTTTTGCTAAATAAAAAGTGCACATATTCATCTATATTTTGCTTGTTTTGACACATTATTAAAAAAATTATGACAAAATAATATTATTTATTCATTTTTGATGTGGTCAGAGATAAATTTGGCAAATCTTTAATAATGGAGCCCTGAAAAGTCATGTGAAATAATAAATAATTGCAATGCAACACTTTGAAACCACAACCCGTTTGTTCATGCTCACTGAGCTAGGTCACAACACAAAAAAATAAAATGAATGAGGAGGCATGTGGACATATAACACTATTTAAATCAAGTCGTTTTAGCATGTCAAAGTCAAATTTATGCATATAAAATATATTTTCCCATAAACAAAATTGTGGCAAGTAAAAATGGTGAGGGGCTAGTAACATTGGAAATCTACTAGCCATAGTAGCTGGTAATCAAAAAAGTTGATATCAAGTCCTGATTACAATGCATGTTTTCTTATTGTGGTAATGGCCACAAAACAGATAAAACAGATGTAAGCTACAAGCAGTAGAGTAAATGTAATATATAATTAAAGAATCATGTTACATTAACTGTAATTAAAAGAAGCTACAGATCAAAATGTAGACACTGACATAGTCTGCTGTATTATTAATTACAAATTAATTGGTTAATTATTTAAAGCTTTAAAAGATATTCCGTCAAGATCTGTGAGTGTCAGTTATTTCTTTGGTCACAGATTTACATTAGTTACAAAGACAGTGGCATGTTAATTATATTAAGTCCTAAAGCATGGATCAAATATGGGGATACACATCAGATTTATCTTCCAAATGAAGACATAGTAGAATGTGTTTAAATGTGAATCAAGGTATTATGAATTATTTCTGTTTGTTTTGACCATTGAAATGCAATACGCCTCTGAAGAAAATCGAATTTGGGATGGCATGATAATAAAGAGAGAAGACTTTAGTGTATATTCTTCAGGTGTTTCCCTCAGCATGAGTAATGCAGATCTTTTTTGTGTTTTATTACACTTGATGACTTTTTTAACATCAAACACATCCCACATTTTATTTTCACATTCATATTGTGGAAAACATACAAGAAGCGCATGAATCCTGAACATATTAACCAGCCCTGTATTTGGCCTCAGTTCTATAATAGTAATAAAAGACACACAAGGAAAGCCATTTCATAAATCCAGGATTAGATTTGCCTTTCTCATCCTTCATGCCTTAATGTTAAGGATGGTGTTTCAGAGAGAGACTTCTTAGTTTAATAATATCTAATTCTAGAGACAATACCTCTTTATTGATCCCCTCAACACTCCTCATTCATCTCAGGTGTATAATTAATACCTAACAGCCTACAGGGAAAAGGTTTACGCCTGCTGTAATGGAGAGTAAATGTAGACATGATTGAGAGTGAACAGTTCTCTGTATGGACAGTTTCTTTACATAGCAAGCTAATTTTTGCTTGTCTTGTCAGAGTTACGACCACAAGCCTAAATGCATGGTCTTTTTTGGCAAATTACAACATCATGATAC